ATCGGGTAGATTGAGAGAAAAACTAGTTTTCCCAAAGGGTGACAAATCTGGACAAGTTTTTGAATATAGCTTGTAGATGAATTTCTGGAGGTGCTGTGCAAATTCTGAGAATTAGAATTGAAACTAGACAGGTTAATTATTATTTTTGTGCAATTTCAACCCCTAATTTGACCTGGAAGTATTTTTACCAAAGCATTCTTGTTAGCCTTGCAGAATTGAATAGTGTTGAAAATGGTGTTTATTGTGTTATTTGTCTCCATGTATTTCAAAGCATGCCTAATGTTGTTTGCTTTCCTTACAATACTTATGTATGATTATCATGGGCTATATTTCGTCTCTTATGTTTGTCTCATGCTCTTTTATATTACCGAATTACCGAATGTGACTAACTTGCTTGGAAAAAGATCTAATAAATGGGAAATGATAAGGGGTTGGCAACGGGTGACGTTCACATTAGTATTATGGAATAATTTATACATATGAATGACATGAATTATGATGGGATTAAAACCAAATGTGCTAAGTCTTGCACAAGCGGTCTAAGCAAGCCCCTGGGTTGACACAGATGTATTCAGACTTTATGCGGTGGTTTCAGGGTGTAAGAGAGCCCTTTGGTATGGTATGTGTACGGTGTAAGCGAGCCCTAGGCACGATTTGGTATAGTATGTGCAGGATGTAAGCGAGCCTTAGGTACGATTTGAGTGTTAGCGAGCCCACTAGTTTGGCCGTCTCTTTTGAGGTCCATCAATGTCACTAACCGGTAAATAATTGGGAGGTGGGTATAGGTGGTAAGGTCTGCAAAGCAGCAAAAGGGGGAGTTCTGAATAGTCCGGTGTTCAATCCTTGTGGATCGGTAGAAGGATCTCTTTGAGGGATTCTAGATGTCTAGTCTAACTATTAATTCATAGAACCTTGTTGCAATATTGAATGTTATGTTACCCAATTTATTCTGTGTATGGTTGATTGGTTGATAAAAGAAATGGGGGTGTGTGTGTTTTTACTGGGCATTCCAAGCTCATGGCGTGTCATGCCAGGTGATGAAACAGTTTACAATGGTGAAGCTTATTTCGAAGGCAAATAAGATGAAGTGTTAGAGCTGTGGTTCATATGAAGACTTAGACTACTAGTTTTTTTTCCTTTTGACTTTTGGTTTGGCAAGGTTTTGGTAATCCTGTAATGGAACATAAATGAATTATCTGTGATATTAACTCTGGTTATATATGTATATTAAGATGTTTTGGTTATCTATCCTACTTGTGTTATCTTATTGTACGTATTTAATGGCCCAGAAGTTAGGGCGTTACAAAGTTTGGGAAATGTGAATTTTGGCTAAGGAAAGTTAAGTTCTTAGGCCATGTGGTATCTGGGGAAGGGGTGACGGTAGATTCATCTAGGATAGAGGCAGTGCAAGATTGGAAACAACCTAAGAATACTCTCGAGATCCATAGTTTCTTGGGGTTGGCAGGGTATTATCATAGATTTGTGAAGGATTTCTCTAGGCTAGCCTCACTGTTGACAAGATTGACGAGGAAAGGATTTAAGTTCTTATGGGATGAGACTTGTGAGAAGTCTTTTCAGGAGCTCATGGTTAAGCTTACCACTGCTCTAGTATTGATTATTCCGGAGAGGGGTTTGGGCTACTCTGTATATTGTGATGCCTCTCATGAAAGCTTAGGCTGTGTTTTGATGCAAGAGGGGAAAGTAGTAGCCTATGGCTCGCGGCAGTTGAAAACACAAGAGAGGAACTACTCTACTCATGACCTAGAGTTAGCGGCAGTGATTTTTGCCTTGAAGATTTGGAGGCATTACCTGTATAAGGAGAAGTTTGAAGTGTTTTCTGATCATAAGAGTAAAATATCTATTTACACATAAAGACTTGAATTTGAGGCAAAAGAGGTGGATGGAGTTTATAGAAGATTAAGATTTTGAGTTACATTATGATCTGGGGAAGGCCAATGTTGTGACCAACGCGTTGAGTAAGAAATCCATTGGTAGTGTGGCTAATGTTGCCATCTAGGAATGAGAGATGTTGGGTGTTATTGGGGAGTTTGACTTGTATGTTGGCAAGTTTGTTGAATCTGTAGCCTTGTTTTCGGTAGTTTCACAACCTATACTTGTGAACCAAGTGTTAGAAGCACAGAGGGGTGACCTTGATGTGGAATCTCTCCGGGAGAAAATCTCCAGTGGGAAGGTAGAGAGGGGCTTGAATATGTATCCCAACCTGAGTGTGCGATACCGTGATCGTTTATTCGTGCCGGAGTCTTGTCGAGATGAAGTACTTCGAGAGTTTCACTATTCACGCCTTGCGGTGCATCTTGGAGGCACAAAGATGTATCACGACCTTAGTTGCCAGTTTTAGTGGAGAGGTATGAAGAAGAATGTGGTTGTGTTTGTGTCTAAGTGTCTTACTTGTCAACAAGTGAAAGCCGAACATTAGAGGTCAGCTGGTTTGTTGCAGACCTTGCCTATTATCAAGTGGAAGTGGGAGCATATCACAATGGATTTTGTTGTGGGCCTTCCGAGGACTCATCAGGGTAGTGATGCTATTTGGGTGGTAATTGACCAGCTGACCAAGTCGGCGCACTTTATTCTTATGCGTGTGAGTGACTCGGTAGATTATCTTGCCGACTTGTACATTTATGACATAGTGAGGTTGCACAGGGTCCCAGTGATGATTGTTTCGGATAGAGATCCACGTTTTACAGCTCGGTTGTGGAAGAGTTTGCAGAGTGCCTTGGGCCCTAGATTGACTTTTCGCACTGCGTATCACTTTCAGACTAACAGGCAGTCTGAGCATACTATTCAGAACCTTGAGAATATACTTCGAGGTTGTGTCGTTGACTTTAAGGGTTGTGGGAGAGACACTTGCCCTTAGCAAAGTTTGCCTATAACAACAGTTTCTCCTTATGAATTATTGTTTCATAAATCTCCTGATTACTCTTTTATGAGAGTGTTTGGGTGTCAATGTTTTCCCTGGCTCAAGCCATACACATCTTATAAACTTCAACCTAAATCTACTTGTGTATTTCTTGGTTATCATCCCTCTTACAAAGGATATAGGTGCTTAGATCCTTTCTTTGGGAAGGTTTATTTGTCACGACATGTCATATTCAATGAGTAGATTTTTCCCTTTGGTTTAGCCTCTGCCAAAGCCTTTGCTCCCATCTCTTAGATTTTGTCTCAGCTTCAGTCTTTTTTCTGGTCTCCCTCTTTTGACCATCAGTCTCTTTCTACCAGTCATATGTCTAGTTCTCCATCTCTATCTGTAGCTCACTTGTCTACTTCACCTGTGCTTGTTCTCTCTTCTTCTATGCCACTGCAGGCTGCACTGTCTTTGCCTGCTTCTCCTCTGCCACCTATTAATTTGTCTTTTTTCCCTGTTCAGCCTAATACACCTTCTAATCACCTTACTCAGCCTAATGCACCTACTGATTAGTCTCTTTCTACTGTTGTCCAACCTAATCCCTCTATTCCTATTACTTTCATTCATATTGCTCTTTCTTTTTCTTCTCCTAACACTAACACTCACTCTATGATTACTCGATCCAAAGCTCATTCTCAAGCCTTACTGGCCTCCTCTTCTACTTTTTCTTCTTTATGTTTTGACACTGAGCCATTGACTGACAAGCAAGCTCTTCAGTCCCTGTTTGGCATAGTGCCATGTTGGATGAATATAATGCTCTTATAGCCCAAGGCACCTGGTCTTTGGTTCCACTGCTATTTTCTAAATCTGTCATAGGTTGCAAATGGGTTTTCCGCATTAAACGCAATTCTGATGGCTCTATTGGTCGTTATAAGGCTCGTTTGGTCGCCAAGGGGTTTCTTCAACAAGAGGGCATTGACTATATTGAAACTTTTAGCCCTGTAGCTAAACAGCCCAACATTCGTATTTTATTGTGTGTTACCTTGCGTTACAATTGGCCTCTCAAATAACTGGATATTAGTAATGCCTTTCTCCATGATACCTTAGATGAGCAAGTTTAAATGACTTAGCCTCCAAGTTTAATGCCTCTTACCCACACCATGTTTGTCTCTTGAAAAAGGCTCTCTATGGTTTAAAGCAAGCCCCTAGAGCCTAGTACTCTACATTCTCCAGCTTTCTTTTATCTCAAGGCTTTCTTAACAGTCAATGTGATAATTCCCTATTCATTCAACGGATTTCTTCAACAATCACTATTCTCCTTATCTATGTTGATGATATCTTGGTAACAGGTAATAGTTTTTCTCATATTGCATCTCTTATTGCTCACATGCATACTGCCTTTACCATGAAGAAATTAGGGAACATTTCCTATTTTTTGGTTGTCTCCATTCAAGCCTATGGTGATTCCTATTTTTTGTCTCAACACAAATATGCGTATGATATTCTTATTCGGGCTGGGATAACTACTTGCAAGCCTTCTAATTCCCCTATTTTTTAAGTCTTCCCTACTTCCAAATTCAACTCTTCCCTTTGCTCACACAACAACAAAATACACTTTCGGCGACTAAAAAAATTTTAGTCGCCAAAAGTTGTGAAATTGGCGATCAAAAATCATATTAGTCGGCAAAAGTCAAATATTTAGTTACCAATTTTTTTTTGTCGGGGAATATTGATTATTGGCGACTAAAAAAAAATTTAGTCGCTAAAAATATCACAATTGGCGACTAAAAAAAATTTTAGTAGCCGTATAGCTAGTTTTGGCTACTAAAATTGTTTAGTAGCTGAATGAAAAAAAAAAAAAAAATTATATTTTGGCAACCAAAAATTTGGTCACCAAAAGTATATTTTCAGCGACAAAAGAATAATTTAGTAGCCGTATAATTAGTTTTAGCTACTAAAATTGTTTAGTAGCCAAATGAAAAGAAAAAATATATTTTTTATTTTTGGCGACAAAAAATTTGGTTGCCAAAAATTTATTTTCAGCGACAAAAGATTATTTTAGTCGCCAAAACACTAAAATATTTAGAGGGAATTTCAAATTTTAGAGGGATTAAAAAAATAATTAGCGACTAAATTTTAGTCGCCAATTGTTATTAACTTCAGTCCTCTCCCATTTCACTCTCTCATAATCCCTCTTCTCTCTCTCTTTCTCTCAGTCCATCGCAGGCGACCCTCCTACCGGCCACCGTCCACCACTGTCGCACACGAGCGCCCACCTCCTCACCGGCGACAGTACAACCCACCTCCCCACCAGCGACGACAAAACCCACCGTCCACCTTTGTGCATATGTGATTTTTTCAAAAATTAATTCCATATATATATGTATGTATGTATGTGGGTGTAGATCTTCCAGGGTTCTATTTTGATGCGGAGAAGAACAGGTACTTCGCTATCAAAGGCCCAATTCCGGGTTCTTCTCGCAATTCTTCTTCTGCTTCGACTTCATATTCTTCTATCCAAGTCCAATCTGGTAAATTCATTAATTACCCACTTTCATACTTGTATTTTTGAACTTCATCATGATACCAATTTGCCTATATATATATATATGTCTGTTTTGTGATAGACTGTTAAAAAATATCAAAAGTTCAAAATTTTCCTCTTCAATTGCTAGCTAAATAGCTCAACAAAGTTGGTCAGAATCATTATTTTTTTCTTGCCTTCAAACTGTTTGATAAAATGTCTCTTAGGCTTCTCAAAATTCTAAGCCACAAGCCTAATTTGTTGAATGTGAAATTGTAGAGCCAGTGGTTTTTATGAAACTGAAATGAGTGATTTTGGAATTGTTTGGACTGTTTTATCACCCAACAATTACCTAAAAGAAAATATAGAAAAGGTTTATTATAGTATAGAAGGGGACAAAACAAGGCCATAGATGGAGTAAGCTATTGGGGTTCTAAGTGGAAGCTTTGAATGGTCGGCACACTCTAGAGAGAGAGAGAGAGAGAGAGAGAGAGAGAAAGAGAGAGAAGCATAACGGGAAATCCAATAAGCAGAAGAAACCATGGGTGTGATTTTTATTGCATGGAGTGAAGAGCTTGTGATTTTTATATTCCTTATCTTCCAACATTCTTCTACTTTATGTGGCTTTCTTGCAACTGTAGCAATCTATGATCAGCTTTGGTTGGCTCTTTCATTCTATCACTCAAGCCATGCAAAACCCATCTATTTATCTTTACTTTCCTTAAATTATTCATGCTGGTAGCCTTATATTGGTCTAACTCAACTTAGGTTCAACTCCAGAGTTTGGTTCTACTCCTCATTGCTTACCTTGCAGTACGGTGCTCAGCCTCTCATTTCCAAACACTTCGTCAGGTATTTTTCCATTCTTCATCTATCCCTACTGTGCCTATTATTATTATTTTATTTTTTTTAATTTTGTGAATCGAAGACAGAGACAGTTTGATTAATTCAATGAGGTTTATAGCTCATTCATTTGGATTTCGGTTTACTTGCTACGAAATCATTCATTCCTGGTTGGTTATAATTAGAACAAGTTTGAGCTGAAATTCTAAAATCATGATGTGAATAATCTCTGCCTAATTGAATTGTAACCCTTGTCTATTATTACAAACTGCACTAAATTACATCACTACGGATACTACCTAGCTACTTACTGCTTGTCAACCAACCACTCATGTGCTGCCACCTCATCAAAGCTATTTTTGCTGCTCTTCTATTAGATGAGCCAACTCCACTTCAACTAAATTGAGCTGATAGCTAGTGGTTGAACTTGTCATTGATCTGCTAGTCCTGTTGGGGTTGGTGTAAACAACTCTGAATCTGAATTTGTTGTCCAACCTTTTTCTTCAGCAATGATACATGGAACACTAGATCGATACGGGAGTGGAGTGGCTAGGTAAATCAAGTTTATAGGCAGCTTGCCCTATTTTCTGTATTACTTGGAATGGTCCATGGTACTAGGGAAGCCAATTTAGTATCCCTTTTCTAAGCAATGAATGGGCTAGATCGATGGATCATCCCTCCATCATCCAGCAACTCTGTCAATTGCTTTTGCAATTCAACCAAATCCTACAAACACAACCTTAAAATGCTACTCAACATCCTATAGGAAGTTTTCCAACTCTTTGGCACTTCAAGTTCCACTGAAGGCCTTAGGTTTCAGGACTTTCACTTTATGAAAGACATCACCACCATTGAAATTCCCACCAACGACTTTCTTTACAAGAGACAATTTGTCTGAATTATGCAATTTAAGGCATCCGACATGGCAATCATATCTCCCATCACTTCTGTGAATCAGTTTGTTGTCTAAGTCTATACGGGCAAAAACCCATTAGCCACATCATCCAACTGATCTATCAAAGAGTGACTTATCTGGGGGCATCCCTCTCAATTTTTTCACTCAAGTTACTCATTCCTGAACGGCTTCTAGCGCAATACTACCACCAACCATTGCAGAGCACAACCTAACTCTAATGCCAACTATCACAGGGTTAATTTTTGAACTGATTTTTCTGTCTTTGATAGCACTATGTTTGATACGTAGTTTCAGCCAATTTTGTACGCGCACTTACTCACAGTAAAATTTCAAAGTAAGGCAAATAACACAACAATTTACTGATGAATCCCGACTTTATATATTACACACCAAGTAGTTACAAGCAATCCAAGGCAATCTATTACAACACTTGATAATGTAGAATTCTTTGGCACTCCCTATATGTAGGTTACAAATTACAATCAGTTATTGGATGTTGTAATTGTCCATGTGCAGATTGCCACATGTCCCTGCAGTTGACCCAACTGCCTAAGTTTAGTTGACCCAACTACCTAAGTTGAGCTGGACCAATATAAGGCTACCAGCATGTAATTGTTTCATTCTATCACTCAAGCCATGCAAAACCCAAAACATTTCGACTCATACAATTTTAGAATTTTAAGCTTTGTATTAAAATTTTTAGATGATGTAAAAATTGATATGGTATAAAATTGGGATACTACCTGACTTCCATGAAAACTTATGTTCATTTATACTCATTCAAGTAATTAGAGTGCTAGGGAATTTAAACTGTTTTCTTCTCTTACTTTTGGTTTGAATGCTTGTTGCTGGATATTATAATTTTTGCATTTGTTTTGTCATTTTGTCTATCTGAGGGTGTATTAGTATGCAACAATTTATTTGACACTGGTTTTGTGAAATTTGCTCATTTTGGAATGGTGGTGATGGAAAATTGTGTGGGGTTTTGTGTTGTTTTGGGATAATGTGAGTTTTTATGTAGTGTTGATCTATTATGCATATAGTAGGTGTCTCTCTTTGTCCATTTGAATGTAAAGATTGGATCAGTAAGAGTTGAGTTTTATTAACTAGGACCTAACATTCACTTTGCCAACATGCAGGACTGTTGATCTCTCCACTCAAGTATCTGAACCTCACAAGAAAAACTTGTTTTTGCAAAGTTTATACAAAGAGGGGCAAGAGAAATCACATATGACAAATGGTAACAACAGCGGGAAGCATGCTTTTCATAGTGACATTCAAGATAAGGATATTGTTGAAGCTCTAGAAAATGAGGTTTAATTTTGGACAGACTTTTCAAAAGTTCACTATCATCCCTAGAGTCTATATGAATATAATGGTTTTCATATGATTGTATGGAATTATTATTTTAGATTGGAATATACTTAGTTTGTATGGAATTTGACATTAAGTTATTTCTTTTTGGATGGTTGGAAGTGAAATGGATGCAAATTGCGAAATGATTGATAATATATGTATTGTTTTGTTTATATACATGGTATAGGTTGCACGGAATATATACAGGTTAAGGACAAATAAAAATATATATATATATATATATCATGTTTTTGGCCACTAAATAATTGGTAGACAGAAAGGCATTAAATATTTTTAGTGACTAAATAGTTAGTAGCTAAAAATAAAATAAAATGAATAAAAAAACTTTTGGCTACTAAAATTTTAGTAGCCAAATAAAAAAATAGACTTTAGGTGACTAAATTTTTAGTAGCTAAAAAAAATTACACTTTAGGCTACTAAAACATTTAGTAGCTAAAAAAAATAAGATGAACAAAAAAATCTTTTTGGATACTAAATAAATTAGTCGTGGAAAATAAATTTAGTTTTGGCGACTAAATGTTTTAGTCGTTGAAAATGCGATATAAATTTCTTTTGAAAGCTTTTGGCGACTAAAAGATTGGTTTCAAATTTAGCCTATCAATGACTAAATTTTTTTTGTCGCCAATACCTTTACTTTTGGCAACTACTTGTTTAGTCGCCAATTTAGGACTTTCGGCGACTAAAATTTTTTTAGTCACCAATACCTTCGCCGACCATTTTTCCGCGACCAAGTTGGCGACCAAACTATTTAGTCGGGAAAACCATTTGGCGACTAAAAATGTGACTTTTGGTGACTAAAAATTTAGTTGCCAAAAGTGCAATTTCTTGTAGTGTCAACCTGAACTTCATCGCTGTATCGTTGGGGCACTCCAATACCTCACTATCACTAGGCCTGACTTGTCTCTTTCAGTTAACCAAGCTTGTCAACATATGCATGCTCCCACTATTGGGCATTTTGCTTTAGTCAAGAGATTACTCCGGTTTGTTAAAGGGACTTTATCTCATGGTCTTACTTTCAGTCCTAGTTCCTTCAAATTACAAGCCTTCTCTGACTCTAATTGAGCTGGTGGTGTTCATGATCGTCGCAACACTTCCGGCTATTGTGTGTATCTTGGTTTGAATCTTATCTCTTGGTCTACTAAAAAGCAACCAACTGTGTCTCGATCCTCTATGGAAACTGAATACCGATCTTTAGTACACACTACTGCTGAGCTCACTTGGTTGCAAATGTTACTTCGCGAGCTTCAACTTCCTTCCTCCATGTCCCCTATTCTTTGGTGTGATAACCTTTCTGCTATTGCCTTAGCATCCAATCTTGTGTTTCACACCCGTTCCAGACATATTGAAGTGGACTGCCATTTTATTCGAGAAAAAGTTGCTTGTAAACAGATATTGCTATGCTATGTTCCTTATATTCTCGATTTAATTACCTTCAAGCCAAGCTTCTGGTCTCTCCCTTTCCCATCAGCTTGCAGAAGGGTGATAAGGATATCTTAGACTCAGCAGCCACAACTTCAGCTGTGGCTTCTCACTCTGTAACTGCCACAGCTTCAACTATAACTTCTCCAGCTGTTACATTAAGAGCATTGTGTAGTTAGTTAGGAATTGGTTAGGAAGATGTTGTGAATTAGTTACATGCTTAGCTCAACATGTATATATCATACAGTTTGTACCTAATAATTGCTTCAATGAGAAATAATATTGGTTCCACAATAACCAAAGGATTCTTTAGACTGCAATTTAATGGGAAAAACAAGGAAACAAGTCCAAATTAAAGGTCTCTTCCAATTTCAAACCATCCAAACAATACAAAATAATGAAATCCCCACATTCATTTTTCTAATACATTTCTCTCTCTTCAAAATTTAACCAACTCTTCAACTGCCCCATCTATCTCTTCATCCCCTTTCCTTCTTATCTTCTCAGTAAATCCCTTTGCCATATTCCTTATACCCTTCCCATTTTCCTCCACTATAACTTTCCTAATAACTTGTGCTATTTCTTTTCCATTAAACCTCTCATTCTCATCTCTCATGACCTCTAAACCAACACCAACCTCCTTTACCAACCTAACATTCAATGGCTAATCAAGTTGCATTGGCATGGTTATAATTGGAACACCAAAATTCATACTTTCCACCAAAGAACTCCACCCACAGTGACTCACAAATCCACCATGTCTTGAAATTTTAGCCTGTGGGGTCTAACCCTCAACAATCAATCCCCTCTCTCCAACCCTCACAAGAAACCTCTCAGGTAATGTTTCTAAAACCCTAATTTTCTCTCCCAAAGGAAACCTAACAACCCATATGAAATTAACCTCACTAAACTCTAACCCATGAGCCAACTCTTCAATCTCATCCTTGGATAAAAAACACTCACTCCCAAAAGAAACAAACACAGTTGAGGACACATCTTTCTTGTCAAGCCAATCAATGATCTTCAAATGCTCATCTTTGTTGATGGTGTTTTCAACAAGTGAACCCACAAGGACAATCTTTTTCTCAGCTAAAACTGATAAGTAATCGATATACTTTCCCTCTAGATCTCTAAAACACTTTATCAAAACAATCTTACAAGACTACTTCATGGCCTCCAAGTATCTATACTTGTCTTTTCTCACTTCTTCAACTGACGACTAGACCATGTCGCGGCTCATCAGAGTCTTGAAACCCCGAAAAAAGATTTCTTTGGCCGGGAAAGCCTTGCCCGGGGTCTTGAACATGTGAAGGGTGAAAGAAGAAGACACTACTCCAAATATCAAGAATTGAACGGCTGGGATGTTATGCGAAGAAGCAATCGTTGCAGCCCAAGGCTGGTTATGGTGGTAGATTACTAGGTCTAAATTCAGGGTTTTGAGGATATCGGAGAAGATCGGAATGGACATGTCGAAGGTGGTTTTTAAGGTTGTCATGAGGTGGGTTGGGAGGCCATTGGTGGTGTGGTCAGGGGCGGAGGTACTTGGGGACCAGGGGGGTCACGTGCCCCCCCTGGATTTTAGGCTTTTTTTTTTTTTTTTTTTTTTTTACAAATATAAAGAAAATATTTTAAATAAAAATATTATTAGAGTGAATTATCAATGACATTTTAAAAATTATGAGAACAATAATGGTTGTTTTGATTGAAAATAAAGAGACTACTATAAATCATAATATCTATGAAAACTTTATAAATTTTTTTGAATGTAACGGTGATGTCATTATTATTGACATGCAAGTATAAGTAATCTCACTATAAGAATATGAAATTTATTGGATTGTTAGTTACATTTGACATTGAGGTTTACTCTCTATGTATTTATTTACTATTATTTGGTGGTATCACATACTAATGATGACGTGGTATTATCATTATATTGAATTTTTAATCAAATTTTGTACGAAAAAATAATTTATCATTATATAATTTAGGATAAATTACAAATACACCCTATGAGATTTGCTTAAAATATAAATTGTCCCTGTTATTTGGAAAATTACAAATACCTCTTTGTTTGTCATGCCCCAAAATTTGAGACCGCAAGAGAAATATATAAAGTACAACTCAAACAAAATAGATAACCACAATACGTTAATATACACATACAAGCAGAGTTATAACATGGATAACTGATTTGAGTTCCACTAGAGGTTTACAAATATTGTCAAACCAAAAGGTAAAAGAAGAGAAAACACAAAAACAAACTACTAGTCTAAATTTTCAAGTGAACCACAGCTCTAAAACTTCATCTTGATTGTTTTCAGGATAACCTTCCCCGTCGTAAGCTGCTTCTTCACCTGGCATGACACGCCATGAGCTTGGAATGCCCAGTAAAAACACACACACCCCCATATCTTCTATCAATCAATCATACACAAAACAAATCAAGTAACATAACATACTTACATTAAGGTTTTATAAATCAGTAGTTAGACTAGGCATTTAGGACCCCCCAAAGAGATCATTCTACCCAACCACAAGGATTGAACACCAGACTATTCAGAACTCCCCCTTTTGCTGCTTTGTAGACCTTACCACCTATGCCCACCTTCCGATTATTTACCTGTCAGTGGCATTGATGGACCTCAAAAGGGACGGCCTACAAGTGGGCTTGCTTACACCCAAATCGTGCCTCGGGCTCGCTTACACCCTGCATATACCATACCAAAGGGCTCGTTTACACCCTGCACATACCATACCAAAGGGCTCGCTTAAACTGCTTACGCAAGACTTAACTCATTTGGTATTAACCCCATCATAATTCATGTCATGCATATGTATAAAATTGTTCTAAAACACTAAGATAAACGTCACCCATTGCCAACCCCTTATCATTTCCCGTTTATTAGATCTTTTGCTAGGTGAGTTAGTCACATTCGGTAATTTGGTCAATTAAACGAGTATGGGAAAAACATACTAGAGGAAATATAGTCCATGATCATCATACATAAGTACATAAGTATAGTTAAGCAAGAAAATAACATTAAAAAGGCCTGAAACACTTAGAGACAAATCACATAGTAGAACACAATTTCCAGCACCGGTCGGTCCTGTAGGGCTAACAAGAATGCTTTGGTAAAAATACTTCTAGGTCAAATTAGGGGCTGAAATTGCACAGAAATAATAATTAACCTGTCTAGTTTCAATTCCAATTCACAGAATGTGCATAGCACCTCCAGAAATTCATCCACAAGCTATATTCAAAAACCTGTCCAGATTTGTCACCCATTGGGAAAACTAGCGTTTCTCTCAATCTACCCGATGGTTTTCACTCAAATAAAATCTATTGGAAAGAGGACTTAGATTTCTAAATGTTGACAAAAGAACCAACACGAGATGATTTTTCTAGAATTTTATAAAATTACTAAAAGTGGACTGTTTTTCAGAGATTGAGGACCAGATTTTTCAACAAATTATCCAAGCCCTAAAAACACACAATTAGGGGCTAATAAAATTGTCACAAGCTCTAAACACACCAATTATCTTACAATAAATTCAGATTTGAGAAATAAACAGGTTTGATATTTCTTTTAAATATTAGAAATTGCAGCAGTGCATATTTTGAATAAAATTGTAAGACAATGTCACCAATTCACACCCACACATGCATACACACCAAAAACTCAATTTACCATTAATACATAACCCAAGGGAGCATCTAGACAATAGGATGAGATGGGTAAAAAAAAAAATTTGAGAAGACAAGGGAGAGGTGTATTTTTACCTTCAAGAAGTCTTTTTTTTTTTTTTTCTTCTCACTTCTCTACTCCCCTTGACTTCCCTTGAGCAAACTCTCCCTCTCTCACCCTCTCCTTGAGCTGATGAAAAACGTGGGTGTGGATTGGGACCAACTCTCAATTTATATAATATAGGTAGCTTAATGGCTAAGGGACTAAATATCTAGATATTTATTTATTTATTTATTTTATTTACTTCTTTGTTGTTATCAACCCACTCTTCCACCAATATTATATATATATATATAAACTATGTATATATTCAAGTACACAATAGTATTCCATTCAAATAAATAATTAATGAAAGAACAATAATAAAAAAAATTAGAAATAAGAATAAAATGTGTGAATTAATTTAGAAATTATGAGGTAAATAAATAAAACCAAGTTTTAGGATCACTACAAGAATTTACACATTTTGCGACCACTTTTGCCAACCAAAAAAATTTTTGTCGCAAAAAAATTACATTTGCCGACCAGATTAAAATTTCGTAGCTGAAAATTTGTAATATTACCGACCAAATTTTTTTGGTTGCAAATAAGTAATTTTTTGCGACCAAATTACATTTTTTGTCGCCAAAAATCTGGGCGGCAGAATAAAATCTGGGCTGGAGCTGTATGATCTTTCAGCGACTAATGTAGTTTGGTTGCTTATTCCAAAACGACGTCGTTTTGGAATCTAATTTCGCACACAGCCATTAGCCGACCAACAGGTTGGTAGGGGATAATTTACTAATTCAAACACGTCTAAATCAGAAATACGTGCCTCTTTCACACACCTCAGTCGAATTTGATCAAAGCTCAGTTGCGCCAATCACCTCACCTTACCATCGACCTTGCCGTCCGCCGTCGTCACCTCTCCACCGTCTGAGCCTCCGTCCATCTTCGCCATTTCTATTTCGTCTTCTCTATTTCTGATTCATCTAGATATTTTTTTCAACTTATAATAGGAAATCTCTGTTTATATCTCTGTGTCTCACGTTCTCTTTGATTTCCATTATTTGGATTGGCCGCCATTGCTGCTAAGTGCAGGTGAGCTTTGTTTATGTGTATTTTGGCATATGTTTGTTTGGTTGCTGAGAAAATTTAGGAAAATAGAAGCAGAGAGTTTAGATGTTAAATCTGATAATGTATTTTTTGTTGCTTTTTAAGCTTTTCAGTGAACTGAGGAAAACTGAGAAAATAAAGTTTGAATCTTTAGTGTCTGGTTGAATCTTCGTTCCCTACCACTGCGCTGAATTGTCTGGATTTCTTTTTATTTATTTATTTTGTATTTCTCTTTCTTTATGTATATTTCATAACTTCCTATATCCTTCATTGCTGATAAATTTAGAAATTGAAGAGAAAATAGATTCTCTTAGACCAAAGATTTAAGATTCAAACTCTGTTTCTTTGATTACACACGTTTTCTCAGCAACCAAGCGGGTCATTCTTAGATTTTGGGCGTAGGTTCTGTTTTCCAAGTATTGTTTGTTTTTCAGGTTGAGTCCTTTGTCATTTCTATGTATTTTTGTATGATTTCTTTGTTCAGATAGTTTGAATTCAGCTAATTTTTTATTTGGGTATTGTTTCTTGCTTTCGTTTGTTCTTTTTGCTCTTATTTTATGTTCTGAAAAGATGAATGCTATTGTTTCTTCACCAAGGTTTTAAATTTTTGGTCAATATCTGACGTCTGAAGGGTGTTCCCCTTTTGATTTTTTTATGGGCTATTGCAAATTAGGGTTGTTTCAGATTTTGAGTTTGGGTGTGTAATATTAGTGTTCTGCATTGTTATAGTAAAATGAATGGATCTTGTTTCTTTTTATTTATTTATTTTATAGTAATTATTTAGTTGTTACTTAAAGATTCTTTTGAATTGAGTTTTTGGTGTTTCAGTTGTGGTCCTTGGGCAGAACTGAAACTCTTTTATGTTGTTCTATGCTATGTTGGGATATTGTATTGTGAGGTGGGGTGTAAACTGTGTCTCTGTGAAAAATGGTTAATTGAAAATATCAAACAAGTGGAGAATAAATGACTTCCTTTCCTTTAATTGTTAATGTTTGTCAGAGCAAACCTTGCAAGCTTTCACTGAAAGTAACTAACTGCTCTTCTTTCTTCTTTTTCTTTTCATTTTTTTTTGGGGCGGGGTGCTTTTCCAGACCAAATATGGTAAAACACTCTTTGCTAACCATCTCATATTTTCTTGATATGTAAAGTTCAATTTATTATGCTTTTTACTGCTTTACTCATAGGTTGTGCCACCTTTTTTTCCCCTCCAGATTACCCTTATGGGATTCATGTTCTTGGTCATATCTACATTGCAGAGCTATGTGAGTTATTTTCCTTCTCTTACTATGCATTTGCTTCTCTGTACTGCATTTTAAAGTTTATTGATTAATGACATCTTTATCATGGTTTGCATACTTCTTTTCATATTTTTCTCCTTCTCTCTAGTTTTGTTTTCCTTTTTTTTCCCCTTTCTTGATACGTGCCACTTTGTTTGATGAGAACATCATAATATTAATTCAAATCTATTGTATTGCAAACATGTTGTTTCTCTTAATCGTAAGTTTTCAGCGGTTTGTATCCCCAAGATTTGGTGAAGACTAATTTAATATCCTTCTTGTTATTGGGTAAGAGGAAATGAGGTACTAAAGGTCATTTTAAAAATAAAATATTGAAAGAAAATAAAAAGAAGGATTTATCAGAGAAACAAACTCATCTCTGCCCAATTTAGGAAAATCTTAATTATTAAATATGGATCAGCTATAAATTCTTACTTTCACCATTCAGTTCTATATGGAGTCATATTTTGGGCTCCAGTGTAGACAATCATGCCTTTCCACTTGACCTTTCATTTGTTCTTTACAGCTTCCCTCATTTCTTTGTGGCACCTTTAATTCTGATTGAAATTTCATTGGTAGCTCAGAAATCAAAAACTAAATTTTACTCAGTTGAACGAAAGAAAAATAAATTGTGTTTTCATTTTTTGGCCAAATTTATAAACTGAGTCCACTTATTTATAAATCAGAAATTTTACCAAACAAGTTTTTATTTGAGTTTTTAAAATTTTTGTAAATATAAACAGAAAACTGAAAACGTAAGTGTTACCAAACGACACCTTAATACTATTAAAAAAATGTTACATTTTTCTTCAGAACTTGTTTGGTTAATTACTTTTATTGGAAAACATGTTAATTTAATTATTGAAACCCTGTCATTATAGTGTCTCCACTTTGCAAATTTGACCCACTGTGCGCTTTCACAGGAATCTAAGAGAGCTGGATTTGCAAGAGTGTGAAGTGGATGATTTGAGTGGGCATTGGCTCAGCCATTTTCCTGATACCTGTACATCACTTTGTATCCCTTAACATAGCTTCCATCTCTGAGGTAAGTTTATAACCTTAGAGTTCATGCATTTATTCTTGTTACATTATTTGAACTAAACGAAACCTTCAATGACCTTTTATTACATAGAATTAGTAAAGTAACACCAAAATAGAAATCACTACAAATGCTGACTTATACATGATTCATATTAATTGAACTGAATGACCCAAAAAGTATGGGGTCTTCTTGCTGCATTCCATCTTTAGTTTGCTTAGAAAACTTTTGAGCATTGGTTCGACTTGTTTGTGAGATTGCGAAACGCGCAAATTCACTTCCCGTGGGTTGCAAGCAATAGTTCATGCACCCACGTTACATAACATGGATGACTCCTCAACTTTCTTAAACAATGCTGGTGGTCATTCTCCTTAGAATGGTGGTAGAGGTAGTGACAGTGGGAGGAGGAGGGTGGTGCTAGTGAAATAGTAAGAACTTGTTAAGGAATATTTTCTTCCTTTTTTGAAGTTTCTAAACTAGTCAATTACCAATAAAAATGCATATCAATTAGTTTCTTCGTTTCACGTACGTATATATCATTACTTTAAAAAACTTGGTTCCTAAGTAACACAAATACAAACACATGACATGGACAAGCTGACACATTTATTTTCATAACATGCAGGGGACACGTGTCCCTTTCATTTAACAATTTTTGCTAGTGGTCATTCTCCTTAGAATGGTGGTAGAGGTAGTGACAGTGGGAGGAGGAGGGTGGTGCAAGTGAAATAGTAAGAACTTGTTAAGGAATATTTTCTTCCTTTTTTGAAGTTTCTAAACTAATCAATTACCAATAAAAATGCATATCAATTAGTTTCTTCGTTTCATGTACGTATATATCATTGCTTTAAAAAACTTGGTTCCTAAGTAACACAAATACAAACACATGACATGGACAAGCTGACACATTTATTTTCATAACATGCAGGGGACACGTGTCCCTTTCATTTAATAATTTTTTTGTAGAGGACACGGTGGGGACACGCGTGTCCATATTGGGACACGGTGGGGCTTACTCCTTTTTTTTTTCCTCTTTTATTTAGTGCTTTTGTGAAGAATATTGTTGGATATTAAATGTTCCCCCCTTCTTGTCTTAGTTCTTGTTATCGTTTATTATGACTTTTTTGTGAATGGATGCTTTATTAATTTGTTTAAATGTAGTGTTTATATTTATTGAATTAATGTTACTATGTTTTTGGAAGTTAATTTTGATTTAGGATGAATGTAATATGAATCTACATAATACATAAAAATATATATATATATATATATATAAAATTCGCCGTGTCTCCTGCCGTGTCCGTGTCCGTGTCCCCATTTTTTGGAAATTGTCGTATCCCGTGTCGGTCTCGGTGTCCGTGTCTGTGCTTCATAGCCCCTAAGATTAATATTCCCTTTCTTATTTAGTGGTGGTGCTTTGTTTAGTTGTAGTGCAATCATTGGTAGGTTGCCGCTGGGGTTATAGCTGATAGTGAAAACCTTTATCTGTTTTGTTTTGAATTTTTTCAGCTTGTGGACTGCAAGAAACACATTGAACTGGCTATTTCTTTACAATGTTATGTTTATCTCATATTTATTGCTTCATTGATTATCACTTGTCCTTGCACTACTGTAAACTCTCTATTTATTTTTATTTTTGTGCCTGTGTTTCTTATTTCTTCATCCTTACGCTTGAGATTACAGGGCTTCTCCTAAAAGAATTGAGGGGCCAGATGGACAAAACTTGCAGCTGCACTTCAGGTCAAGG